TTATTTTTTAACAACTTATGTTGAATTTGATCGATGCACTGACATGAATACATATTCTAATTAAAAGAAAAATCGTAGTGTATGGTAATCGTCAACATGAAAGGTATCAATAAATATACGTGCGATCAATGCCCGTAAATCTAGTATTAATTATAGCAAATCGCCATTATAATGTACGAACATCTGTGGAGAGTAACTGGGTTTATAAAAATAATAATATTCATTCAAGTGTGAAAACGCTGGGACGTAGTCGTCCATGTTAATCCCACGTATATCTGTGATATTGAAGGAGAAATTGCAGACATCGGTTTTGCATCCACACGGAGCGTAGCCGGAAATCAATTATTGGCAGCGTTCAAGCACGATATCTGTCCTTGAAGGACGCCGCCCGGAGCCTCCTCTCGTCACGTCCCGTCGAAATATCACGAGAAATCACGAAAACGAACGAGAATGATGGCCGGTCGGTCCCGCTGCTCGATTTCCAGAACGACTTCCCGCTCGGTGGTGGCTCCTGAATCGAATCGAAGTTGTCCTCGGGTGGTCCGAAAATACGTTCGCCAGGGACCACCCCGCGCGAGAGTGGTCCGTGTGTGTGTGACGTCGCGAACGGAAATAGTACTGGCCAGGATGCGATAACGAGTTTCGGCCGACTTGGCTCGCGGCTTCACGCGCCCTTCGACCTCATGAATTATTTATTTAATTGGCCCCGGAAGATGGACGACGGGCACGAAATTGCCGGGGATACGCGGCCTATAAACTTTCTCGGTGGCTTCTGAACGGCCTCGCCGCGATGGTAATTTACACGCTGGCGCTGGGTAGGTACGCGTCTTCGTTCGTTTCCTGGCGTGTTTGGTGCCAAACAGAGAAACGACGGGTCTGCAGAGATGACTGTCGCCTTCGATACCTCCGGGAAAATTGCACGCAGGAAAACCCAGTATTTATTAGTATGCTCGCCTAAGATGTTTCTTTGTTCTAAGAAACTCCGTTTTCTATAATCATTTCCCACTTCTGCGTAACTAGCGAGGGTGTGTTCCTTCGAGGAAAGATGATAATTCGTTGGAACACTAGGGGAGTTGTAGGACTGTCATTCGAAAATTGTTATTTCTAAGAATTCTAGTTGCCAATTCAGGTGGATAGAAAATTTAGAATCCTTCCCTCTGTTACACGAATATAAATATACCAATCATGTACCAGCAATATACGGAGACCGAATGATCTAGTCCCGAGGGGCGCCACGAAGTAAGAGGAACGTTTCTCGACTGCATTTCTAGTGACATATGGTGACGTCTAGTGGCCTCTAGTGACGTCTGTTTATGCCCAGCGTATACTATTTAGTTACGGTATACTTGTCAGCATTCGTGTGTCGGGAACAGCGGTTGCCTGCTGCGGAGACAAGCTGATGCACCAACGGATAACACTGTTCATAGATCCTGTTTAATCTTGGGCATTGGACGACTTAAAAATTATTATCAAACTTAAATTATTACTTTGCTAAACTGATCAGATCGGTTCATCCTTTATAATTTCTTCTTTGTGCGTCGAATTCTACGAGGAAAAATACATAAAGAGCAAAGTAGAGACTCGGATGAAAGTAACTGTAATATTCCAGTACGCTTTGAAATATTTCTCTAAGGTTAAACGTAATTTGAAGTAAAACGACGACGAGACGGTGACGTTAAGGAAGATATAGGACGGTGGAAGCTTTGGCGTTACGTTCAAATTAGGTTTATAGGTTAAGGAATTTTGTACATCGAACGGATGGGAATTATGGTAAAACGCGGACGTGTAGGAAAAGGTAGCACGAAACTTGGACGTTCGTTGAATGGAAATGGATGTCCGAGGTCTGATCAAAAAGTATCCGACCTTGTTTTCCTTTTCCTGAAAACCGTGCGAAGCCGAGAGCCACTATTCGATACTGCGCTGTATCGAACCTTGGTGTGCATGCGTAATTTTTTTCTAGCCCCTTTGAACGAGTCACGTGTGTGTGAGAATGTGTAGCTCGTCACATTTCGACCTCGTACGCGATCACGAAACGCTGCTGCATCGAATTTTGTCCAAAGTTTGACGATATCTAAGCTTAAACAATCATTAAAATATATTTGCATCGCACAAAATAATTTCTCTCTCGACTGATAACAGTGTGGCGTCGCCTCCCACGCTCGCCACCAGAGGGGTCGCGCTCTCACAAGCGCTCGTATACATTCCTCGAACGACTAATCGAAAGATTAATCCACAAGATTACAATTGAGAAAGACGCGAAATTTAATTCCGTGACAAAGTGTATTTATTCGAGATCGCATTTGTGGTAATATTAGTGAATATTTTCTTTGGTTATTAGGATTACTATCGTTTTCTCAGCCCGTTAATGGTCTAGTTTATATTCGCGACGGGGCAGGTAGCTAGTTACTTTTACCCGTCGATCTTCGAAAAGTTCTAGATAAGAACGCGACACATCCTTCCGGACACATTATAATTTTGATAAGCTCGATCGAAGGATGGAAGACGAGACTGACAAGGCGAACCGTGTCAAGAGTTCACGACTAAGACTGGGTCAGGTGCACCGAAATAGTTCGCTCAAAAATCGTTCGAGGAATCGACCAACTCCAGGACACTCTCGCAACTGGCAGACTGGAAATAAACAACGATAAATGGCGATCGTCTGCTCGCGTAATGTTCCCGCGTTATTTATTATTCACGAGGTCACGGACGTGTTTATCGTTTTTCACGGAAGCCCCCAGGATTGCTATCGATTACCTTCGGATCGATGTACTTTTTGACTCGATGCTAGCTTCAATACGTTTACAACGTACAAGTTGTATGTGGAGAATAATTTACCACTTTCGCTACGATTTATTGTTCATTACTACGTACCTTGAATACAAACTCTTTTTAGTTTTATATACAGGGTAGTTATCGGTGCAGTTGGGGGAAAATAAAAAGATAAGTAAGAAGATTACTGCGATGGCAGAGCCATTATTTTTGTACAAGTGCAATTGTACATGAGCATTCAAAATTGCATTATTAGATTAAATATTTTTATTCTACATAAAAAAGTTTTTTAACAATACTTTACGAACAAATTTAAAATTTATAAAAACAAATAACGTAAAAAGGAAAATATAAGGAGAATTGTGAAGCAATTAACAATACAGAAATTGAGTTAAAAGTTTTTTTACATTCTACGACTTGAATTTTGTTTATCATTGGACTCTGCATATTTTGATTAATAATTTTAAAGAGAAAAGTAATATTTATACGTGCCCTGGACAAACGCAATGTTAGACAGAGGCATAATTGGCTGGAAAACATACGATCCCGGACAAACTTCCTTCGGGATTATTCCGGATAAGAATCAGCGTGGGTTTTTAATCGCTGGAAAGCACGCGAAACGTGGGTTCCGTTTTGCATTTGTACCGACAAAGCGACGACTATTATACCATTTCACGTGGAAATGGCCACGATAATGACGTTGTCCTCCGCGATGGTGAAAGGACGAAACGGTTCTCCGTCTCCTTTATAGTTAAGCGATCGTTTGTTCGTATCTCCTCGCGCGAATTATTCTAAATATAAAACGAAGCAGTTCCATCAAAGGGTCTCGTTTCTTTTATAAGAAGTTTACTACTAAAATTATTATTACTTAACGTCGAAAGATTTTTCTAGAACACGCTGTTACGTTTTGAAGAGAAAAATTGTTCACAAGACATTTCTTAAAATGTTCTCCAAATGTATTCCGGGGATTGGAATTTAACCCGAAACGCGGACGTATATTATGCACTGTTCCGAGTCACAGTCACGTATGGTTTCGTTTCCAGAGGCTAGACCCGGTAATTTATGCAATCTTGTCGCGGGGAAAAAATCCCTCGCGTTCTTGAAGGATCCATTCAGACGCAGGAGAACAGCGACGCCAGCACGTACTTCGCGCAAATATGACAAAATTGCATCTTCTCGACGTCGCGGGCCAGAATCATAGAATTCTAAGGACGTGATCCGGGCTGGGTCAAGGATAGCCAGGATGTGACGTCACGGACCGCCAGGAGATCGATATCCTAGCTACCGAGTGGCGTCACCGCAAAACGCACTGTCTGCTTCTTGTTGACCTTACACGTGCCAAATTTTTTCAAGCGTGCGTTACAACGATTTGCGCTCCATTCTTTGACATGAAAACAGGTGTTTCCGGTCTCTATACGTCGACTCGCGTTCATTTTTTAGACTCTGGTCCCGTAACGATCCTTTTCAAATATTGATTTTCAATCAGGTGAACGTTCTGTGAAACGGTTCTCGACCTTTCCACTCTTGGAGTTTCGAAATTAATACAGAATATAATATGTAGTGGTCCTACGTGTAATTTATTGTAATTAAGAATTAAATTTTTCTTTATTAATTTTGTGTGTATAAAAATAGTTGTAAATTTGGGAAAGGAATCTTGGGAAAGAATTGTTCGATGGTGTCGCAGGGGAATACTATGAAAATCGTTCGCTCCCCATTGACCTCACGCGCGCCGATTGTCCGCTGTTTCGCTTGTCAAGGCTGCCTCCGGAAGAAACCCTTCACGGACAATGATTTCTTTCAGTTTGCCCAGGCACGACATGCACTTACAAGCGATCTATTCTGAGATCGTCAACGAGGAATCCTTTCCTCGATACGTATCGCGGATTCTTTTGCATAAGAGTACCGTTGTACATCCCGAACGATGCTCAATGACCAACCTTATCTACCTATCCTCCATCCTGACACTTTTATTCGTCGAGGAATCCTCTTTCGACGATATAATATGATTATCTTAAAACTGTGGAAACAGAATTCAAAACGATTGTACAAGGTGTTTCATAACGCATGGTAGGTGCTTTAATGTCGGGCAAAAAAGTTCGTATAATCCTGAAAGGGCAGTAAATTTTGCGTTTCGAAAATTTTCAAAAGCTATTACCAAAAAATTCGATAAAATTTATCTGCCTTGTGGAAGTTGAATAGAAGCTGATCTTTGACTTTGGTTCTGTTCGTAGATGTTAAAATCCTGCAGAACCCTCAGCATGACGGTACGCGGGCCAGCCTTGGATCCCCGCTGCAGAGTCGGTCATCCGGTCTGGTCCACTTCCGGTCGTCAACAATCCTGCAGTTGGATGGACCGTCAAGGTCGTCCGGCCTCGCCGCCGCCTGTTTACCCACCTCGTGACTCTAGGTACTGTCCAAGGACGAGGAAGGTCGAGCTCTGCATCGAACCCGGTCAGTCGCTCGGCCTGATGATTAGGGGTGGCCTCGAATACGGCCTTGGAATTTACGTCACCGGGGTCGACAAGGACAGCGTGGCCGATCGGGCTGGACTGTTGGTAAGAATCAATGAACAACGCGAGTTGCGTTAGGTTTTGCTTAATAGGACCCACTTCCGGAATGGGTTCGCCGATCGAGAAGTATTAGTCAAATTTCTTCGACCTTGTCTCGTGGTTACAATTGATAAAGTCACAGACTTAAGGAGGATAACCATTCATTTTCAATTAAATAAACAATTTATAATCCAGTATTATCACACACGAGTCGTTTAATCGATAGAAACTGCTGAAACTTGTTTGGATGCATAGGGTCAAAGTAAATTTCAAAATAAACATAGAAGACAGGATAAATAATAATAGTTGATATAGTCATTGGATGGAGGCTGAAATGCCCTTTAAAATGAGCGTTTGTACGAGTGGATAGCTTTATTAGTTCCGGAGATATAGTGATTTTAGTTTTAAGTCGATGCGGTGGCTAGTTACGGAGATATAAGGGTCCGAAGCCTTTGTTTACGTTTCATTGAGTTCAATGAACTCGCGCGCGAGCGAGAGGTCCAACGCGACGCGTCAGACGGAGACAGAGATAATCAAATTAAAAAAATTACCTTTCACATAAATTACGATATCTCGGAAACGGAAAGTCGGATCGACAAAAACCAAAAGCCATTTTAAAAAGGAAGGTTCACCGCTTCCAACGATGCCTCATTTATAAATAAAACATTCATAATTTCGAAACTGCACGCGTCTAAAGTTTCAGTATTTTTAATACGCGTTAATAGGCTATTGTACACGTGACGGACAGTGAGACAGTCGGATAAAAAAAGTTACCTTTTATATAAATTACGATATCTCGGAAACGGAAAGTCAGATCGCCAAAAACCAAAAGCCATTTTAAACAGGAAGGTTCACCGCTTCTAACGGTGGCTCAATTATGGCAAAAGCGCTAGTAATTTCGGAACTACAGGCATCTAAAGTTTTAGTATTTTTAATACGCGTTAATAGGCTATTATACACAGTTAGACAGCCGGATTAAAACAAAATTACCTTTTATATAAATTACGATATCTCGAAAACGGAAAGTCGCTTCCAACGATGGTTCATCAAAATATTACAGCCAGTGAGTAAATTATTCGGATGATTTTATTCGTAATAATTTATATTAAATGTTTACGACGTTACCAACCACTTCCACCACTACGAAAGACTGTATTTTTATTGGGACGATCGATTTCGACGGCAAATAACTTTAAATAAAGTTAAGACTTTTCAATTACTTCTCGGCTCTGCACACAGGATGGATCTTCATTAAGCTCAATGATATTGAATGTAGTTCTTTCATAGGGACAAAGAAAGAACTGTCTTTGATTAAGGGGAATGTGATAGTATAATTAAGTTGAATGTAGACAGTAGCAAGTAATTTTTTCTTAAGAAAACTGACTATGATCTGATCCAGTACGATAGAAAGTCTTTTCTTCTCCGTGGAATACCATCCGATTAATTATTTTTAAACCAATTATTCGCGAACAACTCTATATTTTTTTACTCTCTAAGTAGGTAATATTCACCGTATTTTATATCGAAATGGAACTAGGTTGAACAAAATTTTGTGACAAAGATTGTGAATACCATCGAAGCTGTTCAATATTCGATAGATAGAATGTTGAATTCATGAATAAAAAATTGGAATGGTATCAATTAGCCGGTTGTATAATCCAATGTCAGGAAGGATTAATTAGTCTTCCGTGATAGAACGGGTGCAAGCACATCGATGGCAATAGTGGATCGAAATGGCACTTCGTTGGCCCGCTACTAACGATCGCGAAGATTTAATGGCGTTTGAAAGGCAAGCACTTAGGGGCGCCTCCAATTTTCGTTCGTGGATCTGTCGTGATTGGACGTACCTCGAGAGTGGTTGACGATCATTTTTTCAATTCTCGAAACGTTTCAATCTTTCGCTATGCTATATAGAGGATGGTACAAACGATGGTATGATCGTTCCACATGAAAACGTGGATCGAAAATGTAGTGTCCTCAAACGAAATTCTCTGCTTCTCTTTAAAACGATAGTATCGTTTAGCAGTCAGTTATTAATATACGTATTTGTCGCGTTATCTGATTAAAGGTAGGCGATCAAATCATCGAGGTGAACGGTCAGAACTTCGAGGAGGCGACCCACGACGAAGCAGTGCAGATCCTGAAGACGAATAAGAGGATGACACTCCTGATTCGAGACGTGGGAAAAGTTCCACATTCCTGCACCACTAGTCAACCAATCGTCATGCCAACGTCTAGGTACCCAGATCACGATCCCATGCTACTGGAGAGCCCTGGAAACCATCGACCACCGAGTCCTTCGTAAGAAACACCTGTTCCTTTAAAATTGCATCGTTTTAATTAGCATTACGACCATTGGACAGACATTAGCTCGAATTAACATTCTACGGTGCACTGACAATTAGAGGCTACGGTTAAGATCACGCGAACTGAACGTATAATGTTAACGACCGGCTAATTTCTACTCTCGCAAACAAGACAAATTAATTATAGATATTAAAAGTTTATTGAACATTTTGAACCAATGTTATTTGCGTGGATGGTGCATTTAAAATGGCTGGTTCGTTCAAATTTGCTTCCTTTATATAAAAATTAGAATACTTGGTGCAATTTTTTAAAGATACTTTTCCTTAACGAGTTATGATAGTTAAATGTTTACTATAAATAATAGTAGTTAAACTTGTGGATACTTTACAATATTGGACACGTTAATGAACATCCGAATATTTGTATTTTTCTCACTATAATTTAAACTATTATTTTTCTAATTTTTTGACTGGAAATTGGAGTTGACGATTGCAAGGACCGAAGTGAACAATTTATTTTCGATTACGCGTTCAGTATCGCCAGCGACTGGAGACATCGAGGCGGCGTCCACACGGTTTCCGCCGCGACGGCCGCCATGGTGGAGGAAAAAGCGAGGGTGGTTCTCGCGAGGAGCGAAAGGGCGGCTCTATCTCAGCTTCTGGCCGATTACAGGACACGACGATTGACGATCGAGGAGCTGGTGGTCAGTTTAGGCGATTTGCTGAACACCCACGAGAAACTGACTCTTCTGACCGAGCTCAGGGAGCTCGTCGATAGCAAAGACAGAGCTGCCTTCGACGATCTCGTTTACAGGCCTCGCGTAGCCATGGCAAGGGTACGATTCATACAGTAACAATATTAATATAAATTTTTATTTATTGCAAACAGCTCTCAGTTGAACCTCCATGGTATATAAATAGTGGGATGCACTCCAAAAATGGAATTATACATTTATTCTTTTATTTTATACAGGGTGTTCGGCCACCCCTAGAAAAAATTTTAATGGGGGATTCTGGAGGCCAAAATAAGACGAAAATCAAGAATACCAATTTGTTGATGGAGGCTTCGTTAAAAAGTTATTAACGTTTTAAGTTCCGCCCGTATTGAATTTTTTTCTCGAAAATGTGCAGGATTTCGAAGGTGTGTTTATTGACCAAAAATAATTGCAATTGATCCCTGCAACCGAAAATAATTTTTCCAAAACGATTTGAAATTTTTGAATTTTGTCGAATTTGTTCACCTTCCCGAATTTTTTTCTCAAAAGTGCGTAGGATTTCGAGGATATGTGTATTCACCAAAAATGATTGTAATTGACCCCCACAACCGAAAATAATTTTTTCAGAATGATTTGAAAGACATGAAATTTCAGGGGAATCATTCATTCATGAACAGACATTATATTTTCGGTATTGAATTTTTGTCTCAAAAATGCGCAGGATTTCGGGGATATGTCTGTTCACCAAAAATTGCTGTAATTGACCCCCGTAACCAGAAATAATTTTTCCAGAACGATTTGAAATTTTTTAATTTAATTGTTAATAACTTTTTAACGAAGCCTCAGTCAAGAAATTGATATTCTTGATTTTCGTCGTATTTTGGCCTCTAGAATGCCCCATCAAAATTTTTCCCAGGGGTGGCCGAACACTCTGTGTACTTGACAAAATCAAAAACGTGTACAAAATAAGAGAGACACAATTTTAATTAATTCTACCTCACCTACCGTTTCTTCCTCATTGATAATTGGATTCGATCTTTTAATAATGACTTCAATTTTAATTTCGCTCTTTAAAGTGCAACAGAAATAAACGCTAAATTCCACCGAACTAATGATTAAAAAATGGAACGAAAATGGAACACATTCACTCGAAATGTATGAGAAATATAAAAGTGTGATTTTAATTAATTTAAGTACGCACTGAGTACATCGAGAATGCATTTCGTAAAACAAAACGATCGTAAGTGACGATTTCGATTGACCATTTTAACGCCGTGTATACAAAATTGAAACTAAACAAAGGGTACAAAAAGTAGAACCTAATAATTTTTATAATTCAAAGCTTATGTGTAAAAGTAAATATTTGATTCAGAAAATAATTTCCTTGATACAAATGTATCGAATGTATGACAAAATTAAAAATTAACAAACAGTACAAGAGACCTTACTAAATTATTTTCATAATTTGAAGTTTGTACGTAGAAGTAAACGTTTGATTCGTAAAATGACTTTTTGGTAGAAATAGCCAAGTTGGATGAATTTTAATTCGTGTTACAGAGAAAAGGCGACCGCGCCCATTCGGATCTAATAGTGACACCTTCCCTCCACGATCTTCCGGTAAGTGAACCGATAGTCGCGCATTCTACACACACGTCTCGCGAGCGACGTTTCACACGAATCTCACCTGTCACACGGTATTTTCTCTCTATTCATCTGTCCGTCTCTCGGGACATGTTTAGAAACTCTGTCTCTGTCTTTCTCACTCTCTGTTCTCTGCGTTGTCCATTGTAACTGTTAGATACCGTAACTGTTTCTCGTCTCTATTTTTCTGTCGTCGACTTATCGCGAGGAACCTTCAATGAGATCCCCTTGTCCCGCGGAAGCTGTCACGACGGTTCGCGACGGGCAAGGACCATCGAGGAGATTTCTCGCGAGGAAAGGGACAATCTGGTATGCTCGTGTGTCCCCCCTCTCTTTCTCTCTCTCTCTCTCTTTTTCTCTCTCTCTCACTGAATGTATCCAGTTAGAGCGCAAAGATTTCCCGACGATAGCTCGAGGAGACGAACCGAGACGAGTGGTCGATCGGTTCGAGCAGGAAATAAGCGAACGGGAATGAAAAGGGACGATGACGATGAGAACGACGGAGGAGAACGGAAACTCATTGTCGGTTGGAGAGGTGCGAGGAGGTAAACGGATATAACGTCGACGAGGCAGCGGCCGTATTCGTCCGCTGGGACGGAAGACGAAGAAATTCCTGGAGAACGTGCAACGGAATCATCGAATTTCCCCCCCAGACACGTCTCGCGTCTATTAAGGGGAAACGTCGATCCGAGAGACGAACTTTTGTTTTTGCTTAATTGCTCTCGGCTATCGCGGTAACCTGTGAAGCATGACTCGAAGATTCTCCCGCAACCCCCTTATTCTTATTCTTCTTGAATCTTTTCTGTTCTCGTAGAAGCATTATCTCGGTTCTATCCTCTATTGTTTCTTCTTCTTCTTCTAACTACTTACTTCTCTTCACTGTCGTCACTCTGTTTCTCTCTGTCTGTTTGTGCTTATGATTTCGCTTAGTGTTAGCGCGCTTTCTGGCAGCAATCGTTTACGAGCTAACGCTGTACCCGGTGTTCGTTTTTGGAATAGCCTATCCGAGACATCGACGTGTATTGCGTAGTTGCTTGGGACCGGCGACTGTCCGCAAATGCTCGAAGCTGTTATCTCGGAATTATTGCACTCAACGAGCGGGAACAGCGTCGAGTATTCAGGACGCCCGCGTCTCTGGATGCGTTAGGTTAGATGCTTGCGTTTAGGACGCCGTAGAATGCTGCTGATAGAAGCGAACAGTTTGCCTCTGGTTTTCTTTTCACGCTAACTACATCGGGGGAGACGGTACAAAATGCGATCTTTTTCGAAACGAGTTCGCCTGAGCTTTGCTGAATTATTCTTTCGTTCGCGTCTCACGTCGGTCGAGTGCGCGATCGTCAAGCTTTCTCGATTACATTCTGCGTTTAAATGACAGTTCCAGTATCGTTCTGAATAGTTTTTTAACGGAGACAAGGGTATTTCTAATAGCACTTCAAAATTGAATTGGAAACGAATCTTGTCCCAATAATGCAATAACTGTTTTAACATTCTTCGAATAATTTTATCTTGAGCATGTCTGTAGATTCAACACCATCCTTACGGTATCAAAATATCGATATTTTATTATGTATGAATATTCAGACAAAATTCGAAATAATAACACTTAACAGGAACCTTGTTCAATGACATATAATTCAGTCAGTTTTAATTATTTTCACTCGAACAGACAAAATGTCGAAATTGAGAAACTTAGAAATGAAACTCTAGACCAGAATACCCCCTCAATTTACCGACAGAAATACAAATATTTTTTCAGATACAAATACCAAAATGTTTGGTTTTTAAATTCTAAAAATTTTGATCAAATCTATCAAACACACGGATCGAATACAATTTGTCTGACCATTGTTCGCCATTTCCACTTACACTTTCGAGTCAAACTCCGTTACACGTTCGAACTCGATTTGATCGAAAACGAAGTTTCCATTCTGCAATCGACCCTCGACATTGTTCCTGCAAACAAACAAACTCCAACGAGCAACGTAAAAATTTAATAAGCCCGTTGTTCGAAGGATCGAATCGACTCCTTGAGTAAAAAAATAAATTCTTGAATCTTGACGTTCGAATCTACGCCGTGAGATCGCGTACTCGATCGCGGGACGCTGAGAGCAGTTTCGCCGAATCACAAAGGGCTGAGAAAGTTTCGCGAAAGCTTGTCGTAGAGCTTCCATCGAACGGGTGTTCGGTTGTTCCGCGGATCAGCAAGTGAAAAAAGATTCGCGTAGATCCCTGTCGGCCTTATCCAAAGCTCGGGCAAGCTCGGTGACGGCCGGTTTCGTAGCCAACGAGTTTAAACGAGCGCCAACGTTAATCTCGAACGACTCCTCGACAAAGTGTTCCCTGTTTGAAACTAAAGTTTCGACCCCCTCCCCTTTGGGTTTCGTTCGCTTTGTTCTTTGACTTTCCTGTTTTAGTGTCAGCTTCACAGTGACGATCCTTACCTCGGTACCTCGAACTTTATAGTGCGCTTGTCTCGGGATTTTAAGAAACATGAAAGTGATTTCAATGCACGCAGAAACGATCAACCTTCGAAGGACCAAGGTAAACTCAACGATAACAAACGATTAAGAATCTTACAGGTTGACCAAGCTTTGCAAAACCGTGTATTTTTAGATCGATTTCTTTCCGTCAGACTTATACACATTTATCGATATTTGTGCAGAAATTTTTTCAAAGTTAAATAATCGTAATCGCGTGTTCTTCAGATTAGTAAGAAAAAGTCGATAATTAAAGGGATGACACTTTGAGGATTTATTATAGTTTTTCTTCGTCGAAACTTTAGAAGTGTCTGCCTTAATTAGAAAAATTCTTTGAATACACGATGTGTGCGTGAGTTTATGTTTATCATCTTGGTCCAGCAAAGGTTAATTAACACGACGAGGCTCGTTTTCGCCGAAATTGGAGGGCGAATCGATTCGATGACCGTCGATTAATAATGACTTGGTTGCCCGGCGCTTTCATGGTTCACGGTCCTGCGACCTAGACGCGGGCTTCGTGATCTTTGAACGGAAGAGAGACACCGGAAATCGTCGTAAATCAAGCGTCGTCGTTGCACAGTGGCAAACGTCACACGGCGCGACCATGCACGTAACGATCGATGATAGATCGGGCCTTAAATTGGCATATTGACCGGTGCTTCTGTGGCCAATTAATCTGCAACTTCGATGACTGGACGGAGAACAAATTGTCGCTACACGCGTGATCGATGGGGTCATTGTTTCCGATTTAATTACGAGAAAAGGAAGCGCTCAAAGAGTTACAACGATTTACTATTTAAATTTCTTTAAAATAATTTGTAACCTTCCCGATTTCTCGACTGATTTCCATTTATCTTACTCCAGTGATCGAATTTCCAACGATAGTTTTTTTACGAGTTCCATTTACGATTCGTTAGCAACACACACCCGTCAGTTAAGGAGAATGGTCGAATGTATGATCGAAACTTGACATTTCTCTGGCAAATTTTCTTGTTCCTCGTAATTGAAAAAGTTGTTCAAACATTGATAACACGTGGAACGACTTACCGTAATAAAAGAGGGAGTAAAATAAATAGGTCAAGTGGGTTACAGAATTTAATGGATTGGATCGTGTATGTGGCATGTTTGCTTTACAGAGTACCGTTTATGTCATTCGTACCATAAATTTTATAACCGGTAATATCGAACTTCCTTAATTAGTTTTGCTTTTCCTAGTATTTTCTTTCGCGATCTAAGAAACGTTCCAAGAAACCTCTCCCCGGCACTTTCTTCAGCTTCTTTCGTTCCGTAATTAAAAATCGATAACCAATAATTTGAAAGAGCGTTTTCTACCCGAATTAACCCCTTGAGATCCGTGTGTTCGACGCGTTTCTTAAATTCGAACCAGCGTCGTCTCGGTGCTCACAACCGAAACATTTCCAATTACGGTATCTCGTACTGTACAGTCGTCAGCCGGTTTCATCGGATAAAGTACCTTAAAACGCTTAATCCTCTGTCACATTAGATTAAGCCGGCGTGTGGCGCGTAGATTATTGTAACATACACGATACCAGACCTTTTATCCCTCGACACTCAGTCTAGTTTCAATCCTATCGTCCAGATTTATTTTCTTTTGTTACTCGTTTCGATAATTATTGAGTATCCATAATTTTTGGGAGCGTCATGTTATAAAAGAAAAAAATTTCAGTTAGATTTAGGTTAACGTCAAAATACATTTTGGGTACACGTGGACAATTTCGATGATCTTAAAATATTCGTCTTGTAAATTCAATTCGAATTTTCTAGAATTTCAAACATTCGATTAAATTTTATGGAAAGCTTTAATCCCTTTCTCGATCGATATCTCACAACCATTATGAAAAAAGGATTGTGGTTTTGCAGTTTCACGGAATTCGTTTACCTTTGCGACAAACCGTTTGAGATTAAGTCGAAAGAGGAATTTCCTTCCTGGGAAATGAAGTTTGCACGAGTCTCCTGGGCGCGTGTATATATTTTTAGCAATCTTCTCTCGTTCTTAAATTTAATTTACAATTTGATATAGAATTTAAAATTACCGTAAAGCGTAACGTACAACGTCGGAACAAGGAGGAACGTGAGCTAACGTAGTCGCGTTGTCCGAGGAATTGTGTACGAAAATCTCGCGGAGAACGTCGTTGCCAGGAGCGCTTATTTTACATACAGAAAGCCAGCTGGGATTTAGGAAGCTGCTGAAAAGCGCTGCTCGTTAAACTTAAATGACTTCGAGAAGAGCGAGAAAGAAATAACGCTGCGATCCCTATGACTTCGCAACTGTAGTTAAGGATTAATTGTCGACGCGTGCACCATTCGAGAACGGAACAACAATAATTACTGGGTAATTGTAAATTCGGAATAAAAACAGTCCACATTCGCAAGGTGTCTTTTTAAAAAAATTTTACCGATGCTATGTTACTTTCTAAGACTGAAATTTTGGACATTCGTCTGTCGAAAAAAATAGGAATTCCATTCTTTGCAGATGGTTTAAAACCTGTAAATTTTCATGAAAATTCCACTAGTATTTAATTGGATAATATCGAGTAGTCTCAGACACTTTTCTTTAGTTCGAAGAAAAGTCAAGTTTTAATAATAGAATATAATATGTTTAATTTCACTTATTTTTCGTCGCTCTTTAGAAACTCACGTTCCGGTAGAAGCAAGTCAAAAATACTTCTGATATTTCTTAGATAATATTTTAGACTCTGACACGTTTTTGATCGTTGACCGACGCGGTGTGTGTTGAATTTGGAACGTTTTGATGTAACTGAAATCGATCGATCGAATAGAGAAAAAGTAAGAACAGAACAGGAAGCGCTCGTTGGCCGTCGAAACCGGGTGGAAAGTAGGAATGGAATGGCAAACGGCATGACGGGATCTGGTGATTTCTCGCAGAGGGGTGTACCCGGTGGTTGTTGCCGTCCGGGACGACTGGTGGACGTCGAGGGAGATCCCCTAGGAGTGACAGGACCTCTCCTGCCGCGGGATAACCAGGAATATAGATCGCCGAGCGAGGACAGCGGTCTCGGGGCCGACATGCCCAGGACCAGGTCGAGAAGATTTCAATCGAAAGAGAACCCATTGTCGTTTCTCTGCAACACCCTTGAAGCTTCTTTTGCTTTTCTCGAATCTCTCGTAACCGTGAAAATCAAAATTTCACTTCTATTTTTCTCTTTTTTTTCTCTCGCTAACAAAATGAATTGACATTTGATTTCTCTTATGAAAAAAAAGGGTAAAACTTCTTTTATCTTTAAAAAAAATTAATACTTCCATTTGATGAATTTTATTTCGTCGGTTACGAGTTTATAAAATTTCGTTCGAGTTTGGTCGGATTGCAACTTGTCGCGGGAATGGCGATACAACTTGAAGAAAATCCGAGTCGAGCGTTCAGGTTTGTCTCCAAGAGCCGAACAAGTTCGCAGCCGTGCTCGAGGTAACTCAACTTCGTCGAGCGTTTCGGTCGTTAAACGCAAACAATGATTGGTTCGAGTGAGTCGCGAGTACTTACAAGAAATCGAACACATCGATTTCTCGAATGTGAGACAATGGGTTGCACACTTCCGGTGCCACGCTTGGACAGGGAGGTTTTTCGACTAATTTACACCCCCGACGTCGTTTTATCCCTCTGTCTATTAGTAGAATAATATTAATTTACTGGAAATGTTTAATCAGTTTAGATAGTTGTATATAGATTCGTAAATTTAAATATGGATATACTAATATACAGGGTGAGCCACGAACAACTAGTCTCCGTGATTTTTCAGCCCCTTTCAATAGTCTGAGAAATCAGTATTTAACCGACAAGAAATTACAAATTGCATAAATTAGGGAACAAATTGATTTTCGATCAAAAATTAAGGTTACTGTTGTATTTTTAACTTCAGAGTATTGCAGGTGAATTCAACGACCATATAGTTACTCCCCACTCGTGTTCCAAACATTATAATTGTTTCTTCCGAAACCTTTCTCAATTCATTTTTACCAAATTTTGTTTTAATTGCAACTGTACTTGCATTTATAAAGTAGTTTATTTTTATTTGTATGCCCAATTACAAAATCGATAAAGAGGTATAAATAATATAAACAGCAAACCCAAAGTACTGTACTTGATTTTTTTCAAAACTAGTTTGAAGTTTGAAACACCCTCTTTTCAATAGTATCCATTAAAGTCAGATAAAATATTTCCGTGCCACATTTACAGAAATTAAACACATTCCTTGCAGACAAAAATTGTTATTGCCATTCTACTTGATTACAATTGAAATTCCTTGAAACAACCCCCCGTAAAAGTTGCGCTATTTTTCACATATTGAAAAATTCCATTCCCGTCGAGTATCCCAATAACTTACCAACGCATAATCCCGTATTTAATTTACCATCGAAGAAACCACCCTTTGATGCTTCGAAAACACTTAACGCGAGATCGATCCCTGCCAAAACATCCCCCCCGAATCTCTTGTTTCTTTTCCTGACGACTCCCGGAGATTCCTCGACTTCCGGCGCTGGAGTCGAAGTTCGTTCTTAATTGATCGGTGAATTCTAACTGCAACGGGGGTGGGGAGAGGAAAAAAACAGAAGGGACACGCGATTCCGAGAACGCGGGGTTAGCCGTAATGGCGTTTCTGTGTCGGATATACGAGGTACATCGATATTTCATTTCCTAGCAGACCCGATCTGGCTTTAGTATCTATCTCTGCATTCAGCCCCCCTTCGACGCCCTGCGACTGGTAGCAGGTATGTACACGGACGGGGGTGTACGCGGGGGAGGCAAATAGCGACGCGTACGTGTGAACACGACGCGTCCTTGTGTCCACGCGTGGGCGTCGATGGTCGATTCGCGTGGGCGTGTACAGGGTGTATCGGTGGTCAGTTTTATCGGGCGATTAATTTGCGAGACGGTCGTAGGAACGCTTTTTTTTATCCACGGAAGAAGCTTTCGAGGTTTTCCCGGGGCAGACATTAATTGGGTTAGGAACGGGTCTGCTCGGATATTTGGCAAATATTTGAACGACGCGAATAAAACTCGAACAGACCGACCGACCTAGTAATCGAACAGGGGAAAAAGAAAATTCTTCCGTTCCCTCGAAATGATTTAAAACAATCATTGATCTTCCCTAGAATTCTTTGAAATAACCGACATATCTTTCTGCTCGAAAAATTTATTTTAATTAGAATGTACCAAGGCGTCCTAGTTAACCTTTTCGAGTTAACATAAGAAATTAACCCCTTAACGCTCCTATTTTTCGAATTAATGATCAGTTCTCTTTACTGGATTTGTTTCTAAGCTATATTAAAATACGGTTTTTGTTAATTACAACGTTGTATCTAACGTATAATTTGAAGGGAAACAAATATTGTCATACCTTAAACCGTTAGATCAAACAAATATCGTTTTTCAAAGCAGACAGACTCGAGCATGCACGTTAAGGGGTCAATAGAATAATATTCGAAGTCGTGTAATCGTTAATTTTAGTAAGAATTATGAAAACCGTTCTTCGTATTTTAAACTAAGATAATAAATCATAAATTAAGCAGATAAACTGTATCGTTTAAAATGCACGTCGATCGCTTTGTTCCTCGCCGTAGGGAAAATTCTGAGGCTAGAATCGCGAAACGCCTGAATATTAACGTTGCTCGCTGTCCCAAACGTCATCGAACAACTTGTCCATGAACGTGCGAGCACTAATGGACGGGTTCTGGACGTTTCGCGTGTATACGTGTCGTTCCACGGAATTGGGCGTAACGAAATTCCGTCGAACGATATCTTGACGGAACGAGGAAAATATAGAGCGCGGGTGGAAAATGGAATTTGCATATTTCGCTGGGCGATATTGGTTTTCATCGGTATCCGATTATTCGCCACGGGATTAGACCACGATAAATGTTACCCTTTCTATTGATTGTTCGAGAGGATTCGGGCTCTGATATCTAGACGATCATCGTTCGGATTGATTGAATTCCCTTTGTTTCCAATTATTCATTGTTTGGCTCGTTCTCGATTGTAAATTAATCTTCCGCAACTTCGATCGAAATCTCTGTAGCGTACACTAGGGAGCCTAAAACTTTGCAACAACTTGCATTTAAAAAAGAAATTCTATGTAAAAACGATGAGGAATGGTATTTTTAGGTTTCTTCGTGTCTCTTTTAATGATTAGTGTTTCGGCCACGAACAAATATTCGAATGTTTACAAATGTTGCTCGTGGTCGTTGAGTATTGCACAGCCACTCTGTGCTCTTAATCTGTACCTTGACTCCCAGAAGTTGTTACTTCTGATACGCAGAAAAGACTTCTTGCGGAGACTAAGTACTGAAGATGTTACTCTGTCGAAATTAATCTGCCTCTCCGTCCTGATTTTTCCCATAGGGAAACCTCGGTTTCCCCTGCCAAGGAGACAACGACGAACATTGCCTATCGGAGGGAGGATTGGTCAAGTAAATCATCGTCAATCGTCATCGTCGTCACATTGGCAGGGCGGTTCCTAACAATTTGTAACATTCCCGTGCAAGACCATGCAAGAGTGAGCGAGAACATTGCTTTTTTTATAAACATTTGGGGAAAGCCAGAGCTCTCAAAACCCCGGTGGTCTGCAGATGTGCCCCAACGCGGGTTTATGATACGTCAATCGCTATTGAAGCAAGGAAAAGCTCCAAGGATTCCAACTCTCGTGTGGAGTTTGGAGGTTCCTTGATGACCGTATCCTAATTTATCAAGTAAAAATGTCTCGAAGGCCTAATCCTCAAAAATAGCGGGGAAGTCACATCCGTATCATAAACCCGCTCACTGTACCGACCCTGAACAATTAGAAAACGTGTTTTGGTAGCGAAAACTCGCATCGTATCACTCGTTGGGGTGCTCAAGACTCTGCTATTGTACTTTCTGAAGTTTCTAAGCGTTGGAGCATCCTCCTCACATCGAACGTGAGAACTCAAACAAACCTACACGCACTTTTCGTTCGAGTTCAGCATAGTGGTTTAGGAGAACGATTTACGTTACTATTTCCCTTTATTATCTAATCGTTTGAAATGCTACTGTATTCAACTTGCACAACTTAAAAAATCATTTTACTTTCTCTCGATTTATGCCATCAGAGGAAACTGATAAATTATTTATAATTTAGTGGCTCACAAAGTTCTATTCTAATGTGTTCCGCTCACAAAATTATATTGCTTAGCCCTTTGGGTCAGAAAAGAAATTATAATTGTCTATTGCTTTCTCAAATGCATCTCCACGTTCGTTTAGGCGTCGATTTTGCTAAAAAAGCATTAATTGTTTGCATAAGCAATTTACAACATACAAGTTATTAACTTTTACCCAAATCACTGGATCAAACTTTGAATTTTGAACTGTGGTCCAAGTTACAGTAAAATAATTTTGGTTGCTGAGGAACCTACCCCTACTTTTTTTCCTTTATTTGTGCATCGATCACTTCCTCGTTTGAATTCGTGCAACGTCGTGACAGGTTGCACGATTCTCAAAAACGTAGCCCCGCGGTTCGATAACGGACGTCATGCAGCAAAACACATGCCTGTAGGGAACATCGACGGCCCTTGAAAATTTCCACCCACGAAGTTCTAACACTGGGTCGTATCCCGGGTAACAGAATGAAACAAATGAGCCTCGTGAGAGAGAGTTAGCAGTACCACCGTAATCGTTTCGTGGATGAAACGTCCGCTGAAAAGGGTCTCGGTGCGCGTTCCCAGCGAAACCGGAAATTCGATCTTCCTCTAATCTTCCTCGCTTTGTCCCAGAAACGAATCAGTGCCGGCGTAATCCGACAAAGATGTTCTGTAGTACGAGGCCTCGGCGTCGAAACAGTTCTCGATCGACGAATCAACGCGACGAGTTCGATTAAAAATTGTGAAAGAAGAATTTATGTTCGCGTGCATCTCGAACGCTCGTTTCTTCTTTCGTTTTGAAAATATTTAACCCTTTGCACTTCCGTGTGTGACATCAATTTCTATCTCAGAAGCTCCTTCGTCCCGTTCGACATTTTTTCAAATCCAATCCAAAGAGATATCATACACTTGAAAATTACAAAGTAACAGTGTGAATAACAGGAGATATTTTGACAGGTAAATTTCAAATAAAACACTTGAAAGTGTTGGGAGCTGCTGGTAACAAAATAGAAATGTAATTCTGAGTGCAAAGGGTCAAATGATCATTCTTTATTTGCAACGAGAATGTCAGATCATCGATTTTAATGATACTTCACAGGCTTGTTGATTCGCGTATACAAGAAATGTAACTAGTAAAATTTGAAAAAATTTTTTACTTGAATTGATTCTACTAATATATCGATCAGTGCAGGAACTAGTACTATTTTGTCCAGAGTTCGAATTTATTTTTATTTTATCAATCATATTATATTGCAGTAGTTTTTAACCACACGATTGGACAGAAAGGAGATTCTAATAATTGTGATTAATGAAAGAAAAGAAGAAACAAAAATTGTGTCATAGGGATTGAAGCCCAAGACAAAATGTTTTTCACTCGAAGGATCTATAACCAGAATCCAGATCTATTACACTTATCTACGGCCATAACTTCGGCTCCAATTATCGTATATGTGAATCTACGAGTCCGCAAAATATCATTAAGATCGACGAGTATCGGATCTGGTGTTCTCCGTGGAGCAACGAAATAAAAAAAAAATGATAAACGATCGTCTTACTCGTCTCGTTGTTAAAATAAATTGACGACGACTTTGGTATCGTGTGTTTCGAGGATTGCGTGCGATCGAGGGTTCTGAAAATTTCCGACGTAGACATTGCCTGACGTCAGTCGGTTTCCAATCGTGACGTCGTCCTGGCCCGAGTATCCGCGCGATAGATCGATCGATGGCACCCGCGACTCTTAAACTTCGACGAAGGACGGACTGGCGAACGGAAATAGATTCGGCCCGCGCGCGAGTTATGAGCATCTGCAACGGTGCACGTTCGTCCATGACTGACGTACGCGATACTCATTAAATAATCGATTACAAACATATAAATAACCGCGTCAGTCTTCGTTTGTTGCGACTCGGGCTCGTATGTGTTCCATACGGCTCCACAACTTCACCGGGTAAGGTTTCGAAAGTATTCGAGTTCCATTCTATTCGTAAGATGGATTCGAATCGATCTCCTAATTTCGAAAATTTTATTTTATATCTACTCCCTTTATTTATTTGTATACTAGTCGTCCAACTTCTCGAAATCTTCCAAATTTCATGGTTTGTTCCAGTGATAAATGTAGGGCCTGTAGTATGTTTGTAAACGACGTTTCATTAAATTATAAAAAATATAAAATGTTATTACTTGGTAAGAAACCCAAAGTTACATATTCCAGTACGATTAGGGTTAACCCCTTGCCATACAATGAGGAGTCTAACTCGGTTCTTGATGTCAAGTTTCACAATTATGAAGCTACTTGTCATCGAGTCTTATAAATTGAAATCAACACATTTTTACGTTCAGGGGGTACTAGTTAAACAAATCTATTATTTTTCGTGACCATTCCTTGCACGTACAAATTTAAACGAAATTAAATAGTATAAGTTTGAAAAATGATTAAATCGTACTGTGGTCTGTGGTTTATTTGTAAAAGTCTCCTTTTCTACCCCTGAAAAATATTGCACGAATTATTGAATACGAGGCAAAGGAAAACGAAAGGAGTAAACAGATCTAGGAAGAGTTACACGAGGTGTAGGTGGTTAAAAGATGGCGCGTTCGAAACCGTAGGAAGTTTGAATGCTGCGAATTTCCGAAGGGAATTGTTTGTAAACGGTCCAATGGAATAAGTTACGCTAACTTAGTTTGTCGAAAGAATTACTGCACCGCGTAACTCACTATAACTCCGTAACAAGGTCAAGTAGAACATACACGCCTATATAAATTTCTTTCTCTGTTCTTCGGTGCTAAATATATCCCTAAAATTGGTTCCACTTATCGCAGGGCATTGCAAATTATCTGCTGTATTGTTTCGACCGAAACTTCTTTGATTTTAAATGATTTTCAATTTATTTATGTGAACATAAATATTCGAATACTTGTTTCAATAATAATATTCGTAAAATGATATTGAAACAGCGACGATCGATTAATAATATATAATTTCGAATTTGATTTGTTACGTTAAAGTATTTAACGATTAGTAAAATACAGTGAAATGATAACAAGCTTGAAAAGCACGTTATAAAAATCAAACGTTCCCTGTTTCTCCCTCTGCTTGGAACTTTCTATACTCCTAGCTAATTGATTTTTTAGTCGACGGTATTGCATCGAAACCGAATTCACGACGATATCTGATTTGTACGAGCAACACGTTCCTTCCTTCTTCGATAAACCACTCAACGTACTTCGCTTTCTCTTCTGTTGAATAAATCATGGCTAAGGCCTCGGGTAGACGTACGTTTGCCGTGTTTTTTTGTTGCGTTTTTCCCGTACGAATGCATACAACGTTTAACAATTGATCTGACTAAACGAGTACACGCGCCGGCGGCGTTTCCCGATAAAAGAACAGCGCGCGAAACGCGGCGTGATAAACGCTCGTCCGAAGCCTGGATCTATCAAACCATAAAACGATCCAGCACGGTTACTTTAACAACCAACAATTTATACGAATCGACGTCTGATCTTTTTTCAATTCTTATTAAAATCTAATAATTGTCTTTAACCCAAAGCAATGTTTCGGATCGAAGTAAACAGAGAACAAAAAATTCTTCCCCATAGATTTAGCTAATAAAAAATTGCAACGAAACTTGGGAATCTCACGTTCGAGAAATCAGTGTATTTCCTTTCTTGGTAGTTTTTAAATACCGTATATACAGAGTGAGTCATTTAACCTTAATTTTTCTTGTAAACTATATGTTGTATAAAAAAATGTTTCGAACGAAAGTTGTTTGCTATAAAGAGAAGCATATCCAACAGTAATTAATTTTTTACTGTTTTCTTTTTTTAACAAAATATAATATCCAACATTTAATCATTCGAAATTCTATCGAATACAGAATAAGAAATTATTATGATGCAAGGGATCAGAAATTTGTTTCTTAGTTGATTTTTAATGCAAGAAATGTTCAAAATGTTGTACATTACAATCGATGCAGTCATATAGGCGATTAAGCAATACAAGTGATACGTGTGTAAGTGTTTTCCACGTAACTTAATAATTTTTCTATATTCAATAGACTTTCGAATGGCGTGATTAAATATTACACATTATAGTTAAAAATCTCAAGGTGTCCCAAAAAATTAATTGCTGTCGTGTATGCTGCTCTTTATACCACACAACTTTCGTTCGAAACATGTTTTTATACAACGTGTAGTTTATAAGAAAAATTGAGACGAAAGAGTTAAAAATAAAAAATTTTAATAAGAGATTCTGGAGGCCAAAATAAGGCGAAAATGAAGAATACAAATTTTTTGATCGAGGCTTCTTTAAAAAGTTATTAACGTTTAAAGTTCCTCACCCGCCATAAGAAACTCTACAAGCGGAACTTTAAACGTGAATAACTTTTTAACAAAGCCTCGAACACCAAATTGGTATTCTTGATTTTCGTCTTATTTTGGCCTATAGAATACTCCATTAAAATTTTTTCTAAGAGTGACCCAAACACCCTGTGTGTATTCGATTAACGATAAATTTTCGAACGGGCATTGGCGACAAACCGAACCAGCACGAAGCTTAAAGGGACGATTTTGGCGTACTAAAAGAAAGTCGAGGGGAAAAGCTTAGATCCAGCACGGTTTCCCGCGAGCACTTAGGGAAACCGTTGAACCGGAAACGTGCACGGCAATCAGTAGATCTAGAGGATATTGGGGAGACAGGGCGGTCTCGACAGGGCGGGTTGGTCTCAAATCGCAATTTTGGCAATTACAGAGCGGGCTGCAGGAGGGCACAGCATCAGGTGACGACCTCCGACCTCGCCCTCTCCAACGACGACGAGTGTGACAACCAGGTACAGAAAATCGTTCGAGACACCTTTTTCGCGCCGCCCCGTGGTGCCTCGAAGCCCGACGCTGTTAGGCGAACCATTGTGTCCCTAACCAGAGAGAAAAGATCCCGCTACGACGGTGACACGTGAACGCGGTAAAAGGGATCTTTATCGATTTCTTTTGCAGGACTACGAGGACGAGCTGGAGAACGGACGTGGGCGGAGGCACAGCTCGCCGGGCGGTTCGCGCGGCAACCCCAGAGATTACGGTCATCATCATCTTCATCCGGACAATCTGGTGAGTCGATGGTTTATCGTTCTTTGCCTCTCGGGACACAGTCAGACGATGCTTCCCTATTTGTTTCGAACAAACCTCCCCCTGGAAGAAATTAACCAGTTACTTCGGATTCTGTTCGCGACGGAATATTGCTATCCTCGACGTCGTTGGTAGAATTAAATCTAAAAAGAAACTACAGAATGCACTTAATATGTACGAATATAAAGAGTACTCGAAGCGAGATGAGAATTAGGGTCAGTTGCTCTAATATGGAATACCTTTTTTATATGGAAAACTTATATAATATGAATTTATAGTGAATTTTATGCTGTTTTGACTGGTAACGGACAAATTTAATATATAATGGTTTAGGAAATATTGTTTATACCACTAAATTTCAATTAAATCCATTGACTATAGTAGTAGTTAAGTGGAATTTCATTTAAGCAACAGCTTATCGAACATTCTTAGAATTTCTATATATTCTTCACAAAAATACGCCTAGTTTGCATTTTGAAACATTAAAATCCTCCAATCCGTTTAGAAGTTACGATGTTTTAAACATTAGTATGAAATTTCAGGGGAATCATTCATGTCTCTGGTCAGACATTGTATTTTAAGGAATTTATTTCTCGAAAGTGCGCAGGAATTCGAGGGTATATCTATTCACCAAAAATGATTGTAATTGACCCCCACAACCGAAAATAATTTTTCCAGAACGATTTGAAATTTGTTAATTTTGTCGAAAAATTTCACATCTTCTCAAATTTTTTTCTAGAAAATGGCTAGGATTTCGTGGGTGTGTCTATTCACCAAAAATGATTGTACTTGACCCCAGAAATCAAAAATAATTTTTTCAGAATGATTTGAAATTTTCTAATTTGCCGAAAAATTTCAGACCCTCTCGAATTTTTTTCTCGAAAGTGGGTAGGATTTTTGGGATATGTCTATTCACCAAAAATGATTGTAATTAACCCCTGTAACCAAAAATAATTTTTTTAGAACAACTTGAAATTTTCTAATTTTGCCGAAAAATTTCAGACCTTCTCGAATTTTTTTCACGAAACTGGGTAGGATTGTGGGGGTATGTCCATTCACCAAAAATGACTATAATAGACCCCCGTAATTGAAAATAATTTTTTCAGAGCGATTTGAAATTCTTTTTCGTCGCAAAATTTTTCGATTGTTATGGAACTTTTTAAACGTTAATAACTTATTAACGAAGCCTCAATCAACAAATTGGTATTCCTGATTTTCGTCTTATTTTTGCTTCTAGAATCTCACCCTGTATATATTTATGTTTATATTTGAATAGAAATAATCCAGCTAACAAAAAACTGATGCACTTACCTTATTATTTTAGATTGCGATATTTTGTTCAATATTCTTTTACAAACACGTGTTACTTTAACAATCGTAATCGATTGCATTCACCGCCAATAGCAATATTGCGATAATTGCTTTAATATTGCTGTCTTCCAAATTACGAACGTATTCCATATTAGAGCAACTGACCCTATTATACTTAAGGGTTGAGGTAACCCTCTCCAACAACTATGCAACATTTCTGTTACTGTTAGTACCATGAATATGTTTTAACTCGTCAAAAAATTAATTGAAGAAATGTTTCTTATCGGAGCAAATCCATTTTTCGCAAAAGATGATCGAATCCTGAATGGAATCGAGCTAAATAGATTTCTAATAGAGTTTCGAAACCTCACGAACATAGGCTATTAATTGGAATTCTATTCTGGAAAGATATTGGTATCTTGAGTGTTATTGATCCAAAGCAATTCAGCAAATAAATTCGTATTAGAATTTCAACAATCCGATACAATTAATTTGAAGCAATCATTCGATATTTCGTACCCGTGGCAAATAGACTTTCGAATCGACAAAACGAATTGTAGCGGAAATAAATCGAAAACCACCTTTTTTCTAACCGTTTTAGACGTGATTCGTTGATCGACAGTTTACGAACGTTCCCAGCGCGCGGAGTTAATTTCCACATTATCTGCACTTTGAACACAGAATTTTAAACACCGCGGGAAATTAAATTCTCCTGCGCTTCGAATTCCGCAGAAGTTTTTCGAAATTCGTACCGCGCGGAATTAAATTCCACCGCGCTTTTAATCGCGTGGAATTCAATTTTTTTTAATTTTAATCCACGCTAGATTCAATTTTCTAAAGTTAAAACGCGTCGCAACTGAATTTTCTGTACTTTAAATCTCCGCGGAATTAAATCTACCGCGCTTCGAGCCGCGTGTAAATAAATTCTCGCGAACTGTAAACTCCGTAGAATATTCGGGATTTACGTTTGATTCCTGTAAACGGTGTTACGCGAAACAAAACCGCTAATTAATTAGTCTCGATTGCGTAATCTGGTGTATAAAAACGCCGTGTAAAATGTGTTACACGACTTTCTAACAATATAACGCGCAATTGAGAAAAAACTTCCTCGTTTAAAATGATTTTCTATTATATTCACGATATTCTATTTCTAACTTGCGTGCATCGCGATCGCATAAACGTAACTGATACAGACCGTTTTCGAGTTTAAATTACTGTTGGGCAGACATTGATTTACGATGAGTGTATCGTGAAAGGATATACAGACCGACAAAACTCAAATTAAAGCGGATGTTTATGGGCGGCGGAGTAGTCAAATTATCTCAATTACTAGCAGTTGTAAGTGGAAACTGTATTTTACCTGAGTCGATGCAGGCAATTGAGAAATATTATAACTGAAAACTAATGAGAGTCAAGAAAAATAAAATAGATAAAATAAGTATTGTGAGAAATAAATCGAGGTAAAGTGGTAAAAGGTGTTTCACATAGAAGCAGTAATTAATTATTTATCGTTATACCAAGTCACTATCATGATTCGAAACAATACGAAATGACAAAATAAACCGAATCGACGGTGCACGATAAATCTTGTATTATTTTATGCGAAAGTTCCTTTGCGATATTATCTTTTAATTAACTTGGAGACTCGCTCTAGTTTGCCATTTTCGTATCCCACTATCTTCTCTATCATTCCTGCTATCGCTGCCAGCTCACGCAGCTTTGATGCCTTTAATTCGCATTATCGATTCCTTCGTTACGATAGATTTCTGTCCTGATGAAGATAATAGGATTGATAAAAGGCAATGAACCGTGGCATTTAAATGAACAATATACCGTTAACTCGATCGTTGCCCCGCAAGAATCGACCAATTAAGGAACTGTTACGTGTAACGAGCCACCCTAATTAGTCACCGGGTCGCGATTGCTTTGGAATACAAGACGCGCGCTTTGATTAGAAGCACTAACTTTCACGCGCGTTCGATACCCTTGCAAAGCCTCCAAACTGACGGGAAAGATCCCAGTAACCCTGGAACGAACTTAATATAATGATTACTATACAGATGTTTAACTATTACGGGCATGACTCACCGATGGAAATTAAATTTGCAAAAGTTTCCAAAAAAAGAATTATAATTTATACGACTGCAATTGTCATATGAAAATGACTATGAATACTTCTAATTATTGGTTATTTCTTAGCAGTTCGATCGCGTAAGAGCAAATCAAATCGACTATACAAACACGCACCATAAATTTTCCGACCACGTTGAATACGTCGATAATAAGTGTAATTAAGCAATAAATTATGTATAATGCATTTACAATGCAATTTCCATCCATGTATTATGTATATTTTTACGTAATGAATTATTCAAATATTCTGATGAGGGCTATAGATTGTTCGGTCCAGTCGTTAGTTATTAAAATTTATATAATGCTTTTTTCATCGTTTATCTTAATACCGAAGAATCGCCGCGACATTAAAAATACTCGATCGTAATAAATACGACAAAAAGAGTATAACGTCTTCTAATATTAGAAACCTGGTTTATTTACACGCGTAAAGAAGAAGAATTGAAAATTGGAAATGTTTTATAATCGAGAAGAAAAATTCTCGAACAGTCGCCTTATTAGTTCGGATAAATAAGGTTTCCACCCGGCAAGAAAACATCGAGTCTCGAAATAGCGCGGTATTTGCAGACCGGGCAATTACATCTGCAATTAGCGGATTTATTTCTTCTTGGTACGTTGGGTACGAACGTAAACGAAATCGCGTTTCTTCGTCGATACCGCGATAAATTCCTCAACTGTGACGTTACGTTCGCGTCTCGCGTGTTTATCCCAATGTCCCGCGATTAACGAGATCTCGCGAGAACTCGTTCCCCGGCACGGACGATGATCCAGAGCGATCGGTTGGATCTTCTCACGGGTCCGATCCGGAACGGGCTCGATTTACGGACACTGATCACGCCAGGTTCGGTCCAGGTTCTCTCTCGCCGTGCCGCGTATATCACTCCGTACGAGCTCTCTCTCGCGTATCGCCACTAAGAGATCCAAGGACCGGCCGAAGAAGGTGTTCCCCAGGCCTGAATTAATTATCGACGCGCGATCGATCATGGTGTACGGATAGCGGTCAGGACCGCGAAACGTCTCTATTCCTTGGCCGGTTAACGTCCACGGATTTTTGCTGGCCTTGACGGGGGGAGGAGGATCGTCGACCGAGCGCGAAGAGTTCTTGATATCCTTGAAGAAGAGCGCGAGATTGAGGAAAGGCCACCCTGCGTCTTCCTTTTTCACCGCTCGGAAGACTCGAAGTCGAAACGACGTCAGAAGCGCCAGTAAATACAGCACTGAGTTTCGAATTTAGAGACTCGATGTTTCAGGCACGAATTTCGTAAAAGTAAAATTGGTGATGATTGTGAGAATGGAATTTTAAAGACATTTTTAATATCCTTGAAGAAGAGCCCGAGATTGAGTAAAGGACATCCTGCATCTTCCTTTTTCACCGCGCCGGAAGACGCTATGTCGACTCGAAATCAAAACGACGTTAGAAGCGCTAGAAAATACAGCAGTTTCGAGAGTTTCGAATTTAGAGACTCGATGTTTCAGGCACAAATTTCGTAAAAGTAAAATTGATGATGATTGTGAGAATAAAATTTTAAAGACACACC